TTCCCCGAGTGATTTACAATTTATAATGGCACGAATAGTAGTTAGACATGGTTCAAAGGGCAATAAAACAATAAAATTTAATTATAAATAGATGTATACTGTTACAAACTTAGAGCTACTAAGGATAAACAAATGTAATTTCATGTTACAATTTGAAGTCATTTTAGAAAGAAAAAGGTAATTTTAGGTTTATTTTGTTTTTTTTTGGTGGTTACGAGGTCGGTCGAATTGACTGATCCTGTTTTCAGATAGGGTAAAGAAAATAACAGATAAACTATAAATTTTTACTGGAAATAAGCGTTTGTAATGCATTTAGGAGGTTTTAGGGATTACACAAAAGAAATTTGAGATTTTTGAGATGAGGAAGGAAAAGTATCTTTTATTTTAACATGAGAATTACTTTGCACATGGACTATGCAAAACAAATACTCAATATATTAATCAACAAATCTTCATTTTATTAAAAATACTTCACTAAAAAATAAAATTTTTTGTATGTGAAAGACTTATAATAAGAACTGAAAGACTGCCAAATTTTCTAAAGATATCACACTATATTGAAAGTTAGAAGTATTAAATCTATAAAGACTTTAATCGAGTACAAAGAGGTCACATGGTCAGTCAAATTGACCAAGCCCATGTTGAGAGAGTTAAACAAATATAAATCATTTCATAGTCAAATTATATTCAGAGTTCTGTAATTATAAAAGCAACTTCCTACCAATGAGATAGCAGTTTTACAAAAGTCAATGTTATACATATGATACAAAATGATAAAAACCCTGTAACTAGAGCACTTTTGAAAGGTGGACCTTTTTTGCTTGCCCCTGAAGAAGAAAGGTCCACGATTCAAAAGTGCTCAGGTTACAGGGTTTTTATCATTCAAGACTTACCGAACTTACCTGTTTTTCTGACATCATGAATTATACATATGATAATCAACATCCATCAAAATCCTTTCTAACCATTGAGGTTATGGCATAATACAAGTTCATTTGACATATTATGTAGGGGCAATTCCCAATGATTAAAACATTTGTTTTAATGTAAGTAATGGCTGTTTATAATTCATCATATTACAGGGAAGCATGGTATTTAGGTGCACAAGGATCAAGTCACACTTACTGTCACATGGTCATAGTCTTGGCCTAGTTCATGAGAGCCTGCAACTACTTCTCTTTCAGCTATCCACTGCATTAGATCATCCACTTCTCGGTTGAGAGAGAAAAGTTTCAAGGCTTCATCAAGTTTGCCACGTCGTTCTAAAGCAAGGTCTTTCAATCCTGCATAAAGTTTGTCTACCTGCGACTGTCGAACAGCTATGACATCACTAAAGGAGAAGGAAAAACCACTTCAAGTATAAGTTATCACAACAAATTGGAAAACAAGGGAATAAAGAAAATTGTTAATTACTAATTTTTCATCTGTTTAAAGTTCATGTGACTTAGCTTTATTCTTAAAAGTATGAATTTTAAAGAATCAAAATAAACAATATATAATTATAGTTTTGTAGTACAAATACTATTAGTAGTAAAGCAACTATAGCAAATGTTTTATACTTTAAATCTTTTCCAGCAAAGTGGCATTAATCAGGTCACTTTTAAATTAGCATTTTTATAAAAAATAAATTTAACAATTTATAATGAAATAAAAACCACTACATGACACAACTGTATACAAAACCATTACACAACATGCTCATAACAGTGATCTAAAAGCTAGGTTTTAGATACGTATTAGCAATAATTCAATCCCATGCTTAATGATGTTATAAACACACTTTTGCTGTAAAACATTTTTCAATAAAATATGTTGTTAAAATTAATATAAGTAGACAGTATTTATCTTATTTATAAATCTTATAAATTATACACAGCAGTTTCAAAAAGACTCCACTGATCTTCAAGCTTATGTTGGAGCAAAGTCCACCTTAAGATTCCATGGTTTTAAATCACAAGTGGGAGTTTTTATAACGTAAAAGAATTTCCTAAAATTACTTACTTCAACAAAATTAACAAACAAGCAAGGGAGCCAATAAAATAAAATTAGTACCTTTATGTAACATGCAAAAAATAAAAAAGCATAAATAGTTTGATTATCTGAAAATATACAATCAACAAAGGCTTTTACATAACTAAAAGTTTAGACATTTGCAGTCTATATACATAGAAGAAAAGTAGTTACAACAAATTAATTGTGAGGAAGAAAATAATCCCAGGTTTCACATGATATATTCATGATTTTGTTAGCTTTAAAAGCTTGAAAGTTTAAAACAAACAACAACAAAAAAAAATCAGTCGAATTTTACAGTTTACGGCATCATAAAGTTCAGAATTTACATTTCCATACTACTTGAAGTTTGCAATTCTGTTTTTCATAAGTTTTATTTATGTGTATGCTGACAATTTGGGGTGAAGTGGAATCAGAATTAGGGTAGGCAGTTGTTTTATTGCTTTATCAAAATAAATGTTAACCCTTTTGTGGCAGGCTCATGCAATTTGTGAAAATCAAGTCAAGAATTTCACTTACACAGCCATACATGCATTAACTGAGATTCTCTCAAAAACTGGTAAGATTTCCTTAAAGATCGCAAGTATCTTGTATACAAATAAAGACAGTGTTACAATTAAGTGTTTTTACTCAAAATGTTATTTTTCTATTGTAGTTACTCGCATTCAAACTATTAACAAATCAAGTGCAAAGTGATTTTCATTTTAAGTATAAAAATACTTTTCTTCATCTTATAATCTCCATATTTCATTTGCATAATCTCTAGAATCTCCTAAAAGGATATCAAATTTTTTTAAGGTAAATTTTTATATTTTATTTTTCATTTTCTCTACCATATCACAAACTACCTATTATCATCAACATACAATGCAACAAAGTAATTAAAAGTGGGAAATAGAAAAAAAAACAACATACCTTTTAATTTTTTGTAGGATATCTTTAAAGATTTTCCTTTTGTTAAAATCGTAATTCAGGTCTTTTCCTTTTCACATATAGTTAATTTTTAATGTTTTATTTTTCCTTTCTTGTCTTTTACAACTTATTATTCATCTTGACAGAAGTCAATGGTGCCCTCGAGGCACATTACAGTTTTACTGAAAGACATGTTCAACCCTTTGGCAAACTTTTCGTTTAATGCATAATATTGAAAGCCTTGAGAATGGATGCGAAGTATGATGTATATTTAAAAAATGTTTAAATCTTTTAATTAAGCATTTTAAAATATAACTAATAAACAGTTAACTAAAATATCATAGTAAAACCTAAATACAATTTAAATTGTATCTCTAACATATTTAGGTAAGAAACAACTAAGTGCTATAGTTGATCAAATAGCCAACAATACTATAGTCAATTTCATGTACTCTATTAGTACATTGTCAGTTTATACTGTAAAATGAGCTCTTTCTAACTGTTATTTCCACATGTATTACTTGTTTTAACTGTATTTATTCAGGGTACTTTGAAAGGAACGAGTCAAAATATTATGTAACCATCTTATTGTCTAAATGTACCTCTACTCAAGTAACATTCTATTATTGAAGATACAGAGCCAAAATAGAGAATTTTCATAGCTCGTTTGTCATGTGACAATACGTCTGAAGTTTAAAGTAGTTTTTAAAGGTTTATTTCGTAATAAAGAACTTAAAACTTGGACAAAAAACTTCGAATCATAACACATTATAATATTAAATTCAGTCACATACATTGATATTATGGGTGTTTACTTAAATTTTGAATGTAACACATTTACTTGTGCAGAAAAGTATTTAAAGGGTCTCCGTTTTGAAACAGTTAATAAAATATACATCAAATAAAATTCGAAGTCTGAGCATATCAGAAATAGTTCTATTTTCTGAGTGATTTGAAGGGAGAAAATATTCAGCATTTTTTCAAACTTAACAATATCTCTTGCCCTTATAAGAGACAAGAGATACAGGACTGAAATTGGTAGGAAGTTACTGGGATACTGCTTGATTTAATGAAAATTGGTTGGAGTAAAAGGCTGTTTATAAAATGAAAATAATCAATATACTTAACATTAAAAGTTTGGCTTTGTACTAGTTCCAAGTGACTGGGATACTGCTTGATTTCATGAAAATAGTAAAATACACAAATATATCAATCTTAACTCTATCGACATGTGGTCAATAATTTTGACCAACCCTTCAACCAACAGGTAACCATGAAAGTATCCATGCTATGACATTTAATGTACTAAGTGTATCTTCATGAAATTTGGCTAGCTATTAGTAAACATTACAAGTCTTTTGTAAACAAAAAATAGGATTTTTGCAGACTGACTGCAAATATGTTTTCTTGTTAAGATTTAAAATACTTTTCAAATTTCATTTGCATAACCTCTGAACCTCCTTAAATGAATCATTTTTTCAGTAAACTTTATATTTTATCATTTCTTTACCCTAGAAATGGGTAAGTAAGAGCAAAAAAGTGTCACATAACACAGAAAAAAGCAGACAGAATTTAATTATTTCCTTTTGAAATTAATAAATTAAAACTTGTATATGAAAATTAGATTTATTAATAATGTTTGATGCTAAGTTTTTGTAATCATTGATTATAAAGTAGTTTAAATTTTGAATGTAGCTCTTCAATCTTCTTTGTTAAAAGTCAGACCAACTTCTCACGCCCACCTATAACATTCTGTCTTTCACAAATTGTCAATAATTCTCTCTGACATTTTTTATTATATCATTTATAACCAACAGGAAGACAAGATTTCAATTTACCAAATGATGTATAATACTACATTGTTCTCAATAGATTGTCAGTTATTTAACCTACAGACTGAAAGCTGCTATTACAGAGTTCAGATCGAGTAGCTACAAGAAATATATTAACTTTCTCAAGACAGGCTCAGTCAATTTGACTGACCATGTGACCTCTTTGTACTCATTTAAAGTCTTTATAGAGTTAATATTTTTAACTTTGAATATAGTGTGTATATCTTCACAACATTTGGCAAACTTTCAGTTAACATTACAAGTCTTTCAATTACAAAAAATTATATTTTTAGTGAAGTATTTTTAATAAACTAAAATAAAGATTTGTCCATGAATATTGAATATATTGAATAGTCCATGTGCAAAGTAATTTTCATGTTAAAATTAAAAATACTTTTCTTCATCTCAAGATTCTCAAATTTCCTTTGTGTAATCCCTAAAACCTCCTAAATGCATTTCAAACTTTTTTTAGTAAAACTTTATATCTTATTTATTATTTTCTCTATCCTATCTCTATACAGGATCGGTCAATTTGATTAACATCATAACCACCAAAGTAAAAAAAAAAAATCTAAATTACCCTTTTTTTCTTTCTAGAATGACTTCAAATTGTAAGATGAAACTACATTCCTTTATCCAAAGTAGCTTTCAGCTGATAACAGTATACATCTATTTATAATTAAATTCTATTGTTTTATTGCCCTTGAACCATGTCTAACTACTATTCATGACATTATTAGTTGTAATCAGTTGTATAGACTAATAACATACAAAAAGTAGACAATTCCCTCTAACTCTCAAACTTTTTCTGGCTTTCTAACTATGCGACAAGATCCATTACAAATTCATCCAAGCTAGTCGTTAACTTGTGAAAGTGGGAAAGAATCTTGTGAAATTGACACTTATCTGTTCAGAACACAAAGTTATACAATACGTCATTTGATAGATGAAAACCTTGACTTTCTATAGGTTATAGGTAATATATAATTAAATGTAAGAGAGAACTATTAACAGATCCTGAAAGAGAGGATGTGACAGGTGGGGTCTGATTTTCTATTTGATAGCTCTGTAACAAAACAACCTTGAAGGCTATAAAAGTTATGGTTTGTCTGAGCAATAACAATTTTATAGTGAGTAATTTGTTTAACTCCATATGTTTTGGAGGGGTGGTGGGCAAAATAGAGAGGAGAAGATACCCAGAGAAATTGTGTCTTGCATATCACACTAAGGGAAATTTAGGATTTTTAAAAATATTGCCTCATAGAATTAAGAACTTAAAACTTAAATACTATTAAAATATGGATTATTATACTATTTTAATTGGTATAGCATAAACAAAAACTAGTTTAATAAAATTTTAAGTGTAAGACATTAAAACTTTATGTCATGCACAGTAAAGGGGACCTGTAGCGATAGGGTTAAGGCACTTATGCCTTTGTTAGAAAGCCAGTTAAATTATAACAGTTACAAGACAATATTTGCTTTATGCATGTTATTACATTATCTTAACTGCATTGTTGAAATATAAACATCACTAAAATGCACACATTAGGAACTTATTAGGTTAGATAATGAAAGAATAATAATAATAGTAATAAAATCTATTCACAAAGTATGCTCATGAGAAACATCATTAAACATCATAACTTGAGCTACATGTTTGCCACGTGAGTTACAGCTTGTGTAGCTGGATTATTAGTTATACATAGTTCAAAGGGCAATAAATTAAAAAACCTAACAAATATTTTCCCAGTTTTGCCCTCTATACATTTCATTTTATACTTTCAATACGTAAACTAACCACAGATGTAAGCTGTTATGAGCTTTAAGCTATTTGGGATAAATAATTGTAGTTTTCTGTTATAAACTACAGTAATTTTAGAATGTAAAGGATAATTTAGATTTATTTCATATTTTTAAAAAGTCAGATCAACTGAGTATGTACAGAGAGAGTTCTGGTAGAGAAAATAGCAGATAAAACAGTTTTACTGCAAAAAAAATATTTGATATTCATTTAAGAGGTTTCAGAGGTTATGCAAATAAAATTTCAAAAATATAAGGTGAATTAAAGTATTTTTAATCTTAATATGAAAATAATGTTGGCCTTGAACTAGTCAACACCCTGACTACATGGACAAATCTTCATTAAAAATGCTAAACGAAAAAAATCTGATTTTTTGTTTGGAAATGACTTGTAATGTTTATTGAAACCTTGGCAAAGTTTGTGAAGATACATTTACCACATTGAAATTTATAGTACGGATACATTCATGATCACCTGGTGGTTGCAAGGTTGGTCAAAAATGACCTATTCTGATGAAACTTGGTTTAATGGATGGCAACTGCCTATTGTAGAAACACAAGTGTAGAGGCAGTTGCCATCCATTAATCATGAATCAGTTTCATCATGAATACTCTGTCTAAACAATCTTTTAAAGAATGACCAATCCTGTATTAAGAGATTTAAATACATACCTCTCAGGATGACCTTCTGCAATTAGTTCTTTAGCAGTCTCACCAAGCTGTCGAACTGTTTCAGCATAATCTTCTACCTCATTCTCCAGAGACTGGTGTTTCTTCATGAGATTCTGTGCACTAAATTCATCTTTACCACGGTCTTCTACCATCATATATAATTCCTGTTCACTCATCCAGGCTTCAGCCTCAGAGGCATCAAAGTAGTACTGTTTTATAGTAAAAATTTGCATTGAGCTTTTCTAAAATGGTACTGGTATAAATAACAATGCTATTAAATCATTTAAGGTACAACAGTGGCAATGAAGTGTTACTGTGACAATCAGGTTTTATTTGCAATCAAAAAAAAAAGAAAAAGTAAAGACAGTAGTAAGAAAAATTGAAATTTCAAATAATTAAAAATAGGAAGTTAATTGACAATCCCCTAAAAAAGTTAATAACATTTTGTTCTACCTTACTCCACCAAAAACTTTAACACAAAATGTAATAGATTAAACACACACATGCATACCTGGTGTGCTTTTTCAGACTCATCCAATTTTTTCTTTCGGTTGTCAGTGGCATTCTTAAGTTCCTCCCACAAAGACAGAAGTTCTTCAATAAGTTTCTTAAATTCTTCAGAATCTTCATGACCTTCATTTATAAGTTTATCTCCATTGTCACATATGTTCATTATTCGTGGCTCATGATTGTCAATTTCTGTGCGGAGAGACTGTGAAAAGATGTCCAAAATAAACACATTTTTTAAACGTACACATAAAAAAACCCACTGGTATGATGTTAATGCGTTGCTTAGAATTCATTTTAATGGAAACAAATGAAATTGGAATATTCTTCATTAAATAGAAAGTCACTAACACTACTTGAGCATGGTTTGTCACAAGCAAGTTTTTATAACTTAAATTTTTGGAATCTCTTCAAGGAAAATTTACAAACAAGACTGAAAAACAAAAAGTTAAAAGCCCTACCAATAATCTTATTCTTTGAACTTAAAATTACAATCATAAAAAAAATTTCTTCCCAGTGCATTTAAAATGAATAAGTTTCAGACGAACAGATACAGTCCAACAGAATTTAAGACCCAAGAAGCAATAAGGAAAAATTCATAATATAGTACCAAGTTTAATTTACAACATCTTTACTAAATACTCCTCCTTAGTTTATCCCAGTTATAGTGTTATATAACAGTCAATTTTCAGAAAAACTTCTTTTACTTTAGAATTCAAAAGAACTCTGCTAACCTGATGCTTCTTTTTGAGCATTAGTACACCAAACAAACTATTTCCATAATCGGAGGAAGTAGCTAATGGCATCTTTTCTTGAATCCATAATTTCTCATCCTCCACATCCCTGCGGAACTGGTAGGCTTCTTTCTTCTTAAGGAGTTGTTCTTTCCTTTCAAGCAATGGAGCTTGGAGTTTCTGGAATCTGTAAAAATACCAAAATATTTTCATTCCATCTAGATGTATAACAGAAGGTCCTACAAATCATTATTATTACTATACATTTTAAAGTACAAAAATGAGAGAGAGAAAGAGAGGTTCTAGGAACTAAATTAGTGTAATTTGGTCTTAAAAACACAACTGTTAACAATAAAAAATTAATAAAGACCAAGAAAAATATTTGCGGGTCATATGAAACTATATATTTTTCCTCCAAAGAAACTAACTTTCATTCTTTCATACCTGTTTGACAACTTGTTTGATGGATTAACTAAACATAGTACAACTAAGCTACATTTGATCTACTGTAGTTTTTAACAATATTCACATAAAGTTTAATGTATCCCACCTGTTTTCCACATATTGCTTTTTAGCTGTGACTTCCTCTATTTTGTCTGGATCCATTTTCTCAAGATATGCAGCCTGGTCTTTAATTTCTGAAACTTGCTTTTCTTTCATTGCCATCTGTGTCTCTATCATCTGAAATAGGAAACGCTTGCATGATGAAAGAGCTGTATCTTCACCATATAAAACTATAACAGGGTGGGACTCATGATTCATGTATGAAATATATATGCACAAGTTTATGAAATGTAAAAAGGCAGTGCTATGTATTCAAACTAATTAAAACAGTTAAGTGACACACATGCCTAGGCTACTCATGTATGAGGTTAGGTACGAAGTTCTGAACAAATTTGATGGCCGTGCAGGGTGTCTTAGTGACTGCGATGTTAAAACTAAGTGGGTTAAACCTATTCCACAACATGTGACATCCATCAAACACTTCTAGTACAAAAGACATTTTGAGCCAACTGGTCTTATCAAATATGTCAAACCAATCAATTTATCTAAATACTTGTCCCCGATAACCAGGTTTTGAAAACTTCGCTAGATCAAAACACAAGAGGTGACAGACAGTACCAGTACTCTAAGTGACTATAAACAAATGAAGAAATTCATCCACAAAATCTTAATAAACACTGCTGTCCAAGATGGCGCTCTAAACGATGACAGGTCCATTCCTAAAATACCTTTCCCTTTGCATTGCTTAGTATTACCTACAACCACCCCTACATTATGCATATGGTGACATCATGTGTACTTCCCTACTCCCAATTTCATTTTCGCAGAGTTTGATGACGTTTAAAAAGTTTCCCACGTACTTATGACATTGGCTGTACTCCTCTATGCCCAATTTGATTTGTGTAAAATTTAGTGCAGTTTAAAAAGCTTCCCATGTACACACGCACATGTTATTCTTAATTTCATAGATGGTTCCTACTACTGCTTTCAAAGAATGTGAAAAACAATCCTCAAAATCACAGATTTAAAATATAACAGCACAATATTTGTTTTTATTATTACTACTTTTCTTCTGATTTCTGTCTGGAGAAGGGATACATCAACCAGATGAAATTTACAGAGGAACTAGCTCTAAGGGTCTTGTTACTTTTATAACAAAAAAATCCTTTAGGTAATAAAAGCTCCAGGATGACACAAGAGTGTATATCCAAACATTTCACTAATAATTTAAACAAAATAATGATTAACGATTATTGCAGTAATACTTAATAATCACAAAAACTTTAAGAAGCTTTTAAGTGAAACTTACAAAATTACATTTATTGATAAATATTTAAAATGACCTGTGTATGTTTTGACATACAAGAAATCAACAATAAAAAAAAAAGGTTTTTTACAAGTTTCTTTATAACATTTCAATGAAAGGTAAATTCAATGATGAAATAATTATATTCTAGGCAGTAACTTAGCCTACACATTCCTCATTGTTATTCTAATTATTATTATTATTTCACTTCAACATACCTGCTGCTTCTGCAGAATTAAGTTAACACTAGTTAAATCTTGACCAGTCTCTGCTGTAAGAACTTGGTTCTCCAGTTCTGTAATCCAACCATCAATATCATCACAGGTCTGTTCATATAAAACTTGTCGATTAGCATCAAAGAGTTTCTGGCCTTTTTCTTCAGTTATCTTCTCTAATGCTTCAAACTGTTGGGCCAATTCATTGAGTCTTGGTTCAATAGTTTCTTTCATTTCAGGTTTTTCAGCTATCAGCTCTCGGCCAGTCTGTTAAAAAATATTCACAATAGCTTTAATTTAGAACAACCATGAAAAAAATCATTAAGACTTGTTTCATGAGACAAACAAAAATAGGCTAACTTATAAAAAATACATCATATAAGCTGCAAAAAATATGCAACAAGCTGTTCCAGAAGCTTGAAATAAATATTAAAAAAGACAAAAATATAATTAGAACAATTCTGCAAAATTTTACTATTATTTTTCTTCTTGGAAAATTACAGTTATAAAAATTAAAATCAATTGTTTATATAGTGTTAAAAATTATATCATAACTATATTTAAAACATGAAAAAGTTAATTTTTCACCTCATCAACTTTAAGTAATCGATGCTTGTTAGATGCAAGCTCAGCTTCAAAGGCTTGGTGGCGAGTCCACTTGCTGTGTACAGTTTTAGCACTTCGGTAAGACTCATCTTGGGCAATAATGTACTTCTCCTGCATCCAGTCTGATAACTATAAACAAAAAATTAACAACCCAGCAAAATAAATGAAGTCTCTTACTGCAATATTTGTCCAAAGTAAACTAATAATATTTGTACCATACTTTATATTAGTGTTATACTACCACTGAACAAACTTTTGGTTATTTTACTAAAGTGAAAACAAATTGTAAATTTACCTCATCACAGTTTTGGAGAAATTGATGAAGTTGTAGTTGATCTTTAAGTTTCTCCATTTGTTCATTGGCTCTGTCACGATTAGCAGTTCGTCTGTATTAACAACAGGAGGTATTACATGTCTGCATGTTCACAAAAACTTTGCAATAAAATTATATCAAACATGTTTTCAAGCTCATGTTAAAACCTAAACTTTTATATCAAATATCTTGCATCCTTGCAGTAAACATAAAATATTTCTGATGTAATTTACAAAAAATAAGTTATATTGTTCTTTCAAAATAATTTTAAATTATTATCAATACACATTATAGAAAAGTAAAGTAATAATAGTTTTTCTCTTATTTTCTAAAATAATTTTAAATGTTACTTGAATTATCACAACTACATAAGTTATCTTTTGACGATAAATTCAACACTACCAAAAACTAATCAGACTTAAGCAGTACAAGTTAGATGGAAGGAAGTTATTAATACATACCTTTCAGCAATATTTTCAGCTTTTTTGTGTATTTTATCTGCAGCAAAATGACCTTCATCGCATAAGCGTTGAGAAAACTGGATAACAGAGTTAATTTTCTCATCATTGGCTTCCATTGTGGTCAAGAAAGCCTCATGATCTTTAATCATATTCTCAGCCTGCTCAAGACTGGTCTGTAAGAAATAAAATAAAAGCTTTAGAATTTGCTGGTGAACTGCCAAAAGTGCTAGTTAATTTTTTAAAGCCATACATGTTACATTTTATCTCTCAATATCACCTAAAGTTTGAAAATTATTGTTAATCCAAAACATTATTTGTGACAAAGAAAAAAATGTCCAATAGCATTCACCAAATCTGTAGTCGAACACACTTCTGCATACTTGCCACATAGGAAACAGCTTCAAATTTGTATTCTCATTCACCAAATCTGGAGTCGAACACACTTCTGCTTACTTGCCACATAGGAAACAGCTTCAAATTTGTATTCTCATTCACCAAATCTGGAGTCGAACACACTTCTGCTTACTTGCCACATAGGAAACAGCTTCAAATTTGTATTCTCATTCACCAAATCTGTAGTCAAACACACTTCTGCATATTTGCCACATAGGAAACAGCTTCAAATTTGTATTCTCATAAGGAACTTGGAAGAGGTTCTTCTACTAATCAACAGCACATCTTACATTCTCAATCATCCATGGCACACATAAACTTTCATTCCTCATTAATGCAATAAATTTGATAACAAACCTTACACGTCAAACAAATTTCTAACAAACTACATATAATCTATTTTTCTGTAAACTTTATTTACATACATACATCCTGTCATAAAAGGGATTTGAAATTATCACCATCCCAGATCCCATTATGGTAGAGTACTGCCTCTGGCCTGATAGTGTGAATCTTACACAGACTATACAAACCTTAGAAGACATACAATTAAGTGTAAATTCATGAGAGAAGGGAGGGAGGGAGGGAGGGAAGAATTTAGATTTAACTTTTACTTCTCTCTCATGAGAATATTCTCTCATATTATAATATTGTGAAATACTGTATAAGTATTAACCCCTTTTTGTGAAAATTCTCAGCCTTGCAGGTGACTGCATGATCTGGATAGTTGCAGTTTTAAGTAGTTGAAAGTGAGGGAGAAGAATATAATGGCAGCCAACTTAATATAATTCAAAAACTGAATATTAATGTAACTGATATCAACCAGACTGAAATTAGATCTCATCAAATGCCAATTTAATCCCAAAGATAGATTTGAATGAAAAAAAAAAAATCCTAACACATACTGTTACCAACTGAACAACAATACTTCTTTCAATTTAGAATACAATTCCAAGCAATAAGCTTTACAAATTTAGACTTAATGCAAAAGTGCAACTTAATTTCTTATTTTTTTAAAATTGGACAATGTTGTGTCAAAATTATATATTTTGCTTTTCACAATATTATTTATTAACTCATAAAAATGCAATACTGAAGAAATGTTGACTGGAGAATTATGGCATGCTTGCATAATGATATGGCTGGCTATGAAAGATTGCTAAAATGTATTAGTTAAAACATCATACAGCATTTTGAAAAACAATACACCAAATATAACACTACTAGCTAAATTTCTGAAGTTTAAAATCAAATTACTTTTTTTAATTCAACACATTTTTTTCAACCTTTCCAGTTGAGCTTACAGTGTGAAAGTCCCCGAGTACAAAACTCCTTAATAAAACAAACATATCTTAGCATTAAACTGTATTTTAATTTAAACAATCTAACTATTCCAGAGACCAAGTACCCTAGTAATCAACCTGTAAGTACATCTCAATAACACAGCTACAAATTGTCTCATTTATCAAAGAATAATGTTGAAATTATAATAAAGGACAATATCTTAATGCCACCTCTAAAACAGTTATTTTAATAACTTACTTTAACTTTCATTTGGGCTCCTTATTGCTAGAAACATAATTTCATCTAGATTAACTGAAATGAATACAAATACACATGATAATGTAGAACCACTTACAGGAGTTTCATCCTTGAAGAGGTAATGTTCTTGTTGGTTAAGAAGTACTTCTGCCTGTTTGCCATCCCTCATGCACATCTGGAGGTTCAAACTCTGGGACAACAGCTGCTGTCTATTTTCCCACATCTTCTGAAGTTCTGTCCACCCATCCTGTAGAGCTCGTAGACGCTGGAGGGAAAGACAATAATGTACAACGTTCAACATGGCATATTCTATACTTAGAAAACAACAGCAACATAAAAGTTATTGATCTCCTACCTCAAACATATCAATGTGTTATTCCAGATTAATCTCAAAATAACCTGTCAACATGATTTCCAGCTAAATAGTCAAATATTTTCTGTAACCAAATATTGCAGCATGCAAATCTTTCTCTCTTAATAAAAAACACAAAATATCTTGAACATTTTCTGTTCTGTTATCTTAAAGCATAAGAGGTAAACAATATCTACTACACTTCAGTGTACATTACCTCACGCAAGAACATGTACTGTGGATCAGTCTGATCTTGAGTGATTTGCTCTCCATAATCCATCATGTTTTTATAGTCTTCTGTGTAATTATCAATCTCTTCCTTAATCTGTTGGTGCTGGCTCAGTAGCTTCTCAGCCTCTGCCAGGTTTGAGGGAATGTCTTCAGATGCCACATCTGTTTGAGTCTTTGTAAGCCAAGCTTGGAAGTGGTCCAGGTCACGGAGGAAACGATGCAAGTCTCCAGCCTCTTCCAACTTGGAGTCACGATCTTTAAGCTAGAAAAAAAAAATTAATGAGGTTATTCGCACAAATAATAAAATACAAATTCCAATTAAATTTTATGAAAAAAAAAATGTTTTCTTTAAGACATGTTTAAAGTATTTATACTACATCTACATTTTCCCATTTTACATATAGGTTTTGTAAGATTATACTTTTTTCCCCTTGTAGTTTCTTCACAATAAAATGGCTCTACCTTAGTATTAGTAAGAGTAATCTATAAGAAAGAGAATTAATGTTAAAATTAGTTTGTTTAGACTACATGCTTAAACCTGAAACTATAGGTTTGATATGACATTCATTAATAAAAACAAATGTCAAGACAATGTTGAATGCTGGCTCTAAAAAAAAAAATCTTACCAAATGTGTAAGATTTTCCCAAACTTCTTTGATCTGGACAATCCTTTCACGAATAGACTCGGCTTCCTTCATCATAAGATAAAATTTACTCATATATATATGTAAAAAAATATTTCATGTATACAAATTCTAAATTATCTACTACACTAGTAGTTCAAGAAAGATTTTAGTAACATTCTTCACTATACCTTTTTTCTGTCAAAAATTTTTGAAACAGTCTAATAATACAGTTAACTATCAAGTTCTCTTTAGATTAATTTATAACATATATATATATATATATAATTCAGGGATGTCCTCTGTACAAGAATGAATGAAAACTACATTTTTCAGCACATTCTGGATTATTTAAATGTATAAAAATTGCACAAACATAAAAAAGCTTATACGTCTGTTTTCCCTATAAAATGATAATAGCCATTTTTTTACATCATAAAAATGTTCAACGGTATCTTTCAGTTTAAAAAATCTTGTATAGTCATGTAATGAAATATAAAAAAAAAACGTTTTTTCAAATTGAAAATATTTTGATATGTGAAAGAATCAAAACATATTGAAGAAATCCTTTAATTCATAAACAAAAAATAATTAAATATTAGTTTTTGAATATTAATTTACAACGTTTAAAGCAACACCATGGACATCAGTTTTTGGATGCAAAATAAATGCAGCTAGATGAGTTAAAGTTATGAATTAAAATATGCATAACAACAACATGTTAATAAGATATTCAGTACATAATAACATATAAAAGTGGAAAACTAAATCATACCTCAGGATTATCTTTTTGAATATTCTCTGCTTCTTTTTCCAGCGAGTCCAACTTTAAAAACAACAAATAAAAATTTTAACAAATTGAATGAACAAATATTTCCACTATTGTTTAGAAATTTTCAAAGTTCAAAGAAGTTGACTACCTAAAATAACAGAAGTTTTTTAAAACTTCAATTTTCTTTTTTAGCCATGGCTTTTATTAAGCCTGGTTAATGACTCTGTATCAACCTTACCAGGAACCTTATAAGTAGTTTAAAAACTCAATAAAATAAAATTAAAAGTGCCACTTCTATAAATAAACACAATTATAAAGAAGTGATGTGTAAAATAGCAAAATAATAAATTTCCCTGTGTGTACTCATGAGCTAAATGAAAATTAATGAGATTTTAACAAATATTTCAAGTCTTTCCCATCAACCACAAAACATACAATTTTTTTCACTACGTACCTTGGCTTGAATGGCAGCCAAATCCCTTTCCATTCCACTTAGTCGTCTCTGAAGTGTCATGATGCCTGTAAGATCATTACCCAATTCCTCTGTAGCCTGCAGGAGCTTAGTCTTCTCTTCAATCCAGCTCTAAATAACATTTTAATCGCTTATAAGATAACCAAAAAACACACTGTAACAATACTGTAATGCTACTCAACAAAATCCTAAGCACAAAGAAAATGTTATATTTTTGAAATTTTTTTTTTTACTTACAATTGTTTCTCTACATTCAATATGGAAAGTTTGAACTCCATGAGCCAAGTTGATCTCCTCCCGTTTGTGATCAGCCTTTTCAGACAGTGCAGCCCATCTGAACAAACAAAGCCGGGTAACAAATGATTTAAAAGTGATCCTCAATATTCTGACATTACATGTCACATAGTTCTGCAGTATTTTCTCTACATTCCTAACCCTTAAAGTACTAGTATAAATTGGTTTTGACATTGAAGCTATATTATTAGCCTACTTAGTCACTTATATAAAACTACACTGCTGCATTTGCTACACAATTCTCAATCAACTGCAATATCTAACATTTTTGGTCTACAGATAAATGAAAAATTGCCAATTTGGTGAGTCTAACTTTAAAGCATTAATTTAGTTTTGACTTTTTGTATTATATATAAAAAAAGGAAACGTTTTTTATCCTTCCCTTCAATACACAATTCTCTTGCATGTTTGTAAATCCAAATCCAACATAAATTATACTGTAATAATTTTATCTGATGTTGACATAAGTTGGCTTGTTTGAATGAACTTTTACCAGATAGTTTGACTTAGCTACAATATCTACCCAGTCTCTAGCTTTGATTCTGTTCATGTTCATAACCAAACTGGTCAACCTGTCAGTTTATTTCCAAATTCAATGTTAACAATCTGTTTGACACAAACCTTACAGTACACTATTTATTAAGTTTCACACACACGTGTAATAATAACTTACAATTGTTTTGTCTATTTTATCGTCTATCCAGTTTCTTTCTTAGAACTCATTGTTGTTTTGTTTATCATAAGTACGTACACAACATCTTATATAACGTTCATTAAATTAAGAATATAAAGATTACTGAATATTCTTGGACACAAAATGCAGGTTTTGTCTGCCTGAAATTCATCTACAATAACAAATTCTTCAGTGAAAACTGTTCTACAATAAGAATATTAAACAATAATTCTGAATAAATAGAGTTCTATGATATTGAATAATGATCCATTTACATGATACTTTTTCTATGTCATATTTCATACCTGTAACACAAAAATAATAAGAGGACAATTAAGCTAAACTTAATACATTTCTATAAATATACAGTACAAAAATATTACAAATTTACTCTCAAGAAAAACAGCCAAACAAGAACTGTCATTTCTCCTAAACCTATCTGGAAGCTATAACTAGAAGTTGTATATTTTGAGTCGTGTTTTTCAAGGCTCTAGACACCATAATGAATTAAGAGTCTATTTGAATTTCTTTTTTATCTCAATTGTCTTATTATGTTTAAAGTGGTAAGTTCAAAAGATATTCCACACACACTATAATCTTCACCAATAAATATAAAATATGTAACTTGTATTTATTGCTGATACCAACATTCAAAATAAATATTTTAATATAGAAATTTTGTAAGCTAATATGATTAATCCAAAGATGAAAAGCAGCAACCCATTGCAGGGCTCATATCACGGGCACAGTACACTGTAAAGGTTGTAAGTTGAAGTGTACATGAATAAACTTGTAAGTACAAGTCAAGAAGAAAAAAATCCTAACTTTACCTTAGAGAAATGACAAATATTTTTTATGTTTTAATGATGGTAATATGGAATGTAACTTGATTTTGTAATATTTAATCAAATGTGTGCTACATAAATTGCTGACAGACAGTTTTTACATATGGGCAGCAGGCTGTCCATATATGAAACATCCTTGTCAACAAGTTATTATCTGTAATCATGCTGTTTGAAGTTACGTATATTGATTTCCGTGAAGCACTTAATGTGGCGCATTTGTTTCCTTTCAAATTAAACTCAATTATATAACATATAATTTTAATATAGTTCATACTTGTGATTAAGCTGGTTCTGCCTTGCTGTTATTTCCTCAGAATTAGGATGTTCAACATGAAGAAGTTGTCTTGCTAGCTGATTAACTACAGCAACTCTAGAGGCATTGGAATTCATCTCTTGTTCAAATCCCTCGAAACGATGTTTCATCACCTCAATGTCCTCCATGTCACGACTCATGACCATGCTATCAAGCATCTTCTCCTATATAAATTTATCAGACATAAAAAAAAAAGTTTGAGTGTACGTCACCATCCAGTTTGCACCACTAAACATCTTTTTCTCAAAGCTGCACAGTTTTCTTTTCCGAGTTCTTACCGTCTATGTTGCAGGTGCAATGCAACTAAACATTGCTATTGATAATTGTCATCACAACAACAGAACAAACTTTAAATTAAAAGATGTTAATACTACTGTTGTTTAATTTCTCATTCAAGTACTTCTTTTATAGTTAATAACACCTCCTTCCTTTGTGCAATAACTGGACGGTAACCTACTACCATTAATTTATTAATTTTCATGTAAAAGAAACTCGCACTTAAACTTCAATTAAAAATGATCCATGAAAACCACATTAGTTCTGTAATACATAATGGTGGTAATTTTTTTATTTCATTAAAAACCAAATCCACCATACCTTCTCCTCAATCCACTGTTCCACACCATCAGCCTCATTAAATAACTTATACAAGGACAAGGCATCAAGCAAACGCTGCTTGCGAAGTTTTGCTAAGTCAAGAAGTTCTTTGTATCTTCTGTCAATACTGGCCAGACGTTCTAGAACTTCAGGTGCTTCTCGGTCCTGGAAAGAAACACAGGATATATATATCATAACTAACTATATAAAATATATATTTACAAAGAAATTTAAATTTGACAGATTCATAAGATTTATTCAACCTAATGAATGCAGATCATTTTAAGTCACAGCAAAAAAAAATTACAGAGGACTTTTGAAAACATGGTGGAATATTATTCTGAATTTTGATACTGTGTACATACTAACATTTTCGAACATCATTCCCACAAACTATTCATATAACTATACAAATATAAATGTTCTATATGATATTACTTACAAAATACCTAAAAACTGTAAACAAGGATGACGTTACTATTTTCCACAAAATCCCAAATGACTGATTATTAATTGTGTTAATATTTTTAACTGTTTGTGCTGAAACTGTTTTCTATTATTCCTACTTTTACATACCTTAAACAAATTTGATTAGTTTTCTGAGATAATTAGTACTAATGTAAAACTCAGTAAAAAAAAGTAAGAACTATGGATCTCTCACTACAAGTAGGTGAAAGTACTCATGTCACAACCATTTACAGTTACATTCAAAAATTAAGTAAACTACTTGATTATCAATTTATACGAATAAACTTGGCAGCTAAACATAGTTAAACAAAATTCTAATGTTTGTTTTAATTTCTTGATTTTTAACAAGAATATTTCAATAAATCCTCAATCTCCCCCCCATGCGAGTCATAACATTTATTTGCACTACCTTTCCAAATCCCCCCCCATTGCCCCTCTTTGATGTCCTGAGTTTATCGCAAGTCACTCATTAAAGTGTAGATATCACTAAGACAAAGTCCAAATTTTATAGCCTTCAATTTTCTTTGTTTACGGAGACAAACTAGAAAGTCAGACCCATTTGCTATGCCCATCTGTCATACCCTCTCTTTCACAAATTGCCAGTAATTCTCTCTAATGTTTTCAATTAAATCATTTATATTTAAAAGGAAGACAAAACATCTTCTGTTCTCGGTACAGATTTTTAGTTATTGATCCTTCAGTCTGAAAGGTGCTCTCAATGAGTTCAGATTGAGTGGCTAAAGGTATTATTTTAAGACACTTATGCCTCAGCTAAAAAGCCAGTTAACTTTCTCAGTTCGGCTGAATTCATGACCCCAAATTGACCTTTAGACTTTCCATAGTATAATTTCTAATATGTTTTGCATATCTTCACAAAATTTCGCAAGTTTTCAGTAAACATTACAAGTCTTTTAAAAACAAACCAATCAGAATTTTTAAATAATGCACCTACGAACACAGAATAATAACACATAAAAAGCAGTCAATGTCCTATCACCATAATAATTTTTCTGGCTTTCTAACTACACATTAAAAATTTTGCTACGCTCATCAATGTGTTTCCTGTGGGAATAAAGTTTGAACTGGAAGAGAAACAGACAATTCTCTGTACAGAAAACAATGCAATATGTGATTTGATAGATCAAAACTTTGTCTTTCTATTGGTTATAAATAATATAGTATCAAACATCAGAGAAAACTATTGGCAATTTGTGAAAGAGAGGATGTGACAGGTGGGCATGGTAAGTGGGTCTGATTTTCCAGTTTGTGGCTACATACACAAATAATATTAAAGGCTATAAAAATTATGCTTTGTCTGAGTAATAATTATATTATAATAAGTAATTTATGCTAAATTTCATACTTCTCCGATTGGTGATAAATAAATTTGAGAAAAGAGACGACCTAGAAAGCAAATGTCACAATTCTCACAAAAGAAGAGATTAAGGATTTTAAATATTTCCTTATACAAGTAAGAACTTAAAATTTACATAATATTAAAATTTAATCTATTAACTATTTTGAAGCCAAGTTTATTCATATACCATGATTATAATTACATTAATTACATTTTGAAAGTAACTCTCCAAAAAATCATGACATGCATACTGCTGGTAGTGAGAAGGTTAAATTATGATAGTTATAGGAGATTGTTTGCTCTGTGCATGTTATAATTTTGTTTTCTTTTGTATATATATTTAAAGTAAATAGAAATCAGTTAATGTACTTGTACCATTACACTACAAAAAAGTAGCTTAAGTTTCATTGTGAAGCTGACAGCAAAAAAACAAGAGACCAAATTTAAGTAATAAATTTCTTGTTCATTTATATATATATTATTATAAAAATAACTAAAACATAAACATTAGGAACTTATTAGTTTAAAAGAAAAAACATTGTAACAATAATAAAATTTATCCACAAGGTAATCTTAAGTAGCTCGTGCAATACATTACTTAATATGTTAACTTAAGCTATGTGTTCACTGTGTGATTTATAGCTTGTATAGCAGCATTATTAGTTATACATGGTTCAAAGGGCAATAAAACATTAAAATTAAGTAAGCCATTAAAAGTCTTAAGTTGTTTTGAATAAATAACCATAATTTTATTTTAAAACCTACAGTTATTCTAGAAAGAAAGAAAGAGTAATTTAGATTTATTATTATGGTGGTTACAGGGTTAGTCAATTTGACCAAGTCTATATAGAGTTGGTGTAGAGGAAAATAACAAATAAAATATAAAGTATCATTGGAGGAGAAAAAAAAGGTTGAGGTTAAGCAAACAAAATTTAAAAAACACTAACATGAAAAAAAAAGTATTTTTAATCTAAATGTGAAAATCACCTTGCACTCAGACTAATCAACACTTTGACTCTAAATATCCACAGAAAAATCTTTATCAAAATACTTAATTAAAATACCTGTTTTTTTTGTGTTAAAAAGTGGATACTTTCATGGTTATCTGATGGGTATAAGCTCGGTCAAAATTATCGAGTGCGTAAGGAAAGAGTTAAATATAAGAAGTTTAAATAAAACATTACTAACCTGTTCACCAAGGTTGTTGGCTTGTTCGTGTAACATATCAATGGTGTTGGAGAAATTTTTTAGTTCATCTGTCACATCCTGTTCAGAAAAAAACCCCAAAAAACAGTAATACACTGCATATCGGTTTTTATTAATTATTTTTTCACACAAGAATTATAAAGAAACTACTTTTAGAAAATGGGATTAACTTAACAAGTTAACTTGTAAATGTCTAGTTGTATAGACAGGCTTAAAACTGCATGTTATTTCACACCTCATTTTTATATTTTAAGGTAAATAAACACAGCTTATTAATAATGCTCTTATTAAATTACAACTTGTACATACAACTTATTTAATTCAGTTTCTATAACAAATTTTCAAATATGTTAATTCTAGGTACCATTTTCTTTTTAAAACCCATGTATCAATAAAACTTTCCTATGTTAAAAGACAATTAAAGTATTGGATTAGATTAGAAGTAGACAATATAAAATAACCATGATGAGGAAGAAAGTATTTTATTAATCAATAACCTTTCAAACTAAAGCATCAGTACCAAACTAACCTTATGTTTCTTTAGCAAGGACTGTACATTGGCTTCATCTCTTCCAACATCTTCACTAGAAACCAGACGCAAGCTGTCCAACATCCATGTGTCCACATCATCAGCATCAGCAAAGAACTGTAAAAAGAAATATTACAAATTATTTTTTGTGACAAAATAATTCGTTTCTCTTTTAAATATTACCACTATAAGACATTTAAATTGATGTAGTTAAATGAATATAAATAAAGAACAAAAATTTGGAATATCTTGAAATTATAATTATATACGAAGTGCCGGTAAAAAATTGATTTTTTAAAATCAAATTTATCATGAATAAATCAATTCATTTGGTACAGGTAAACATTTATTGACACTGCCAGAATAATCTTTATGTTTTAGTAAATTAAATTATGCAAATCAACTCTAACAAACATAAGTTTTCAGGAATTATAAAAATGCTCTTAAGTAACTTTAGAATAACATATTTTAATCAAATAGAAAAAATAAATTGATTATTTAAGCACAGATGTAGTCAAGAACAGGTGAGTAAGACCAAGATCATGATATTTTTTATACAATCTAAATAACCTTACAATCTAAATAACATATTTGAATAAAAAACAAGAATTACAACAATAATAACAATTTTACTTTTCGAATTTTTGGTTGCATAAAAAATTGATTAACTTCAATCTTAATCTTGACTGACTTGGTGTGGGTCTCAACCTTCTCAGTCTTGGTTACATCTCCGATTTAAATTGCAAGAAATAAAACTTTTAAAGAAAAAAACTGCGGTATATACAAATTATAAACTGTACTAGTAAGAGTTTGTTTTATACAAACACAAACATATGTGAAATAACAAATATATTCTGAGAAAACAAAACAAACCTGATGGTAATCCACTGCTTCATTGAGTCGCTTTGTACGTAGTGCTTGAAGATTTTTTAAGTGTTCCCACATACCCTGGATATCCTCAATACGGTTCTTGATGCTGCTTGAGCCAAAGTGATGAGCAGTAATCAAGTCTTCTCCAATCTGGATAACCCCTCGTAACTGCTGTTCATGGACTAAAATCTCATCTTCTAGTGCCTGAAGTAGAGAAAAAGTACATCTGTTGTAATTCATCTCAAATGAAAATGGTATTTAAAATAAATAAACCAGTGATCTATCAAAGCCAGTACTACCTAGAAGAAAAAACAACATAATAAATAGTAAAAAGCTGTTTAAAACACAACTTTTAAAATAGTTGCTTTGCAAATTATATTAGAAATGAAAAGTACTAAAATAACCTTACATACTTCAAAAAACTTAAAAACTGCTCTGAAATAATGAACAAAAGCTACCTTATTTTTACTAATGAGGAGCTGAACAGTTGTAAGATCGTGTCCAATGTCTCCTTGAGACAAAATTTGTTCTTTTTCCTTTATCCAAGCTTCTTCATCTGTCATTTCCCAGTAGAATTGCCAGAGTTTTCTTGATTCCTCCAACTTATTACGCCTCTCTAGAGCTAGCTGAACTAGCTCAGAGTATGCAGCTTCAAGTTGATGGATCCTGTCTTTTACAACTTGGGGTTCACATGGTTGATAACCTAGAAAAGGAGTATGCACCTTTGAAAACATTTCCTAAAACCCAAATCATTTCTTAACATTTGCTTGTAGTGACTACCAGAAATAATTTTTAAATGCTATAATTATTGTCTTTCTTGTCAGCTTCTTTCTGTGATATTTTTGGCAAAATCTATATTTCAGATTGTGTAATTATAAACTTTTTTCTATTACCAAAACATATGTGTATATTCTACTTCTTAACTACAACAACAAAAAAAAAAGAAAAGAAAAAGAAGAAAGAGAGCCAAAATTTCCAAACCCTGAAATTTCCAATAGCCACTAACACTTGATACAGTATTTTGTGGTCAATCATAATTTATAGCAATTTCAAATTACGGCCTTAATATAAGTTATGCCATTTTTATGTTTGCGCCGAAATAAGATATATTTGATATACATTTAGTACCTCTTGCAGCAAAGTTCTTAAAAAATAAAGTTTCCAACAATTTTCCCTTTACAAATCAGTCCTATTTTTAAGAACTGTAAGAACATTACTTTTCCTTTAATATCTGTTCTTTATTAATGTCAGGTTTTGAATATGGGCTGGGATTCTTCTACAGTAGGCACCTGTGACTTGTTGCCAATAAATTCAGACAATAAATGGACAGCACATAATTCACTGGTTTTAAAATAATAAATTTGAAACAAGACAAATGTAGGTACAAAAATTATTTACCCTATAGGATACCACAGTTGTACCTAAAACTCTAAATAATTACCTTAGAGCACCCTTTGACAAGATAAATTATTCTCCTTATCTCTGTTAAACTGCGTAACTCATTTTAAAATATCGTCTGTTATGGCTAAACGAACAATCACGCAGTCTATCTTCTCTTTCACTAACTTAACTTGCACTCACTTGGTTGTGTATATGTATATATAAATTTAAAAAAAGAAAAAAAAAGATTACATCATGAGGAAGAATAACGTGAATTTAACACAGCATATCCAAACCTTAGATGATAAATAATTAATTGTAATATTACGTTGAAAATGAAAGCAAAAAAGAAAACAGAAACAGTACAGCTACAAAACAGACACGTACAACTTGGGCACACACCAAAAGGTGGGAAGTTACGCAATGTGCCCTGGTTTTTGAGGTACTGGCAGAAGAAAAACCCAAATTGCGTTGGGGGTACACCATCTATCCAGTTTAACTTCAGTTTTGCAGGCCTCACGTTGTTAATAATAATAATAAAATAAAAAATAATTAAGAAAGAGCAGATGCGGGTACTCTAGCCCACAACGTCCCATATCTTTACACGTCTGTTTTGTAGTTGTGCTGTTTCTATTTTCTCCGTTACGACTTTTGGATAACAACCGGAAAGTGCAAAGGTTTTTTTGCCCAACTGAGGCCTAGAACCGTCTACAAACTATAAGACGCTATAATGTAACAATACTCACTTAAGGCAACGAGAAAAATACATAAAGTTTGAGTAATGTGATGTCAAATTACAAAAATTTAACTACACAAACAACGTATGACTCTTACTGAGTAACATAACGATACTTGTTTTATCTATCACCTTTAAAATAATTAACTTTAATACACTTATTATGAAAACTAAATAATTTTTAAATATTAGGTCACTAAACAAATTAAATAACTCTTACACTAAACAGTCTTTTATATCCAACAATCAACACTATAACACATCAATAATTCAAAAACAACTATATGCATTCAAAACAAACTTGAAAGTGGTCTAGAAAAAATAACTATAGCTATAAACTTTTAATATTCAGTTACAACAAGAATAGCATCTAACAAGCAACACCTCTCTGTCATTTGCTTTAATCACAAAGAAGCAATGGTACAGCTATCTATTACCTACTTAATGTCACAAAGATGGAAAATTCAGAAATGCAGCTTTATACCACACAACAACTTTGCTTCTAATTACAGTATTCATTTGTATTTTCACTAAAACCATCAAAGTGCTGTGACACAAAATGGCCAAGAAATAAATAATGCTACTTGACAGCCCTTGATTGGTACTCTTACAACAGTAATATAGTCACCTCCTTTAGGGTCCTCAAAAATGAACTGCTGCACATGTTGTACAACTGCCTTCACTCTCTCTCCAAGTACGTTGATATCTGCTTCTACTAAGCTGTGTTTCTGGAGCAAATCTTCAACACCCATAAGATGCTTCCCAAAATCATCTGTCAATAATCGTGCCTAACAAGATTTTCATCAAGCTTTGTAAGTTAAACAGCAAATGAAGCAATCTTTTAATTATTCTGTTTTTGTTAAACCTGATAGTATATTTTACATAAATTTTCTAATCTTCATAACTAGTATAATATTTAGGTTTAGTATGATTTATAAATTATACATTTCATTAACAAAAAAATAAAATACACTAATGTTTTAGTACACAGTGAATAACAATATTAGACAAAGCAAGTCCCAAGAGCTATGGCTGACTATTCCTTTCTATTTATTTTCACACTCTGTCACACAAAGAAAAACCTTTCAAACCTTTATCTCTTCCATTGAGTCAAGAATGTAGATCATTTCTTGGAATGTCTGTTGTAATGAGATTGATAATTCAAGCCTTCCCCTTCGAGATCTCAGTAACTCAAGCAGGTAGTTCCACAGACGGAGGACGTTGTCTTTCCTAAAAGTGCATTTATGTTTTTTAAATAGTGTTTTAAATAATCATTGAACAACTTAGAAAACAAAGAAGGTATAGAAAATTATAGTTATTCTTTTAACATTTTTGCTGTTCCATGTGATTGTAACATGTATTACCATACCTGGCATTAATGCGATCAATATCATGATAGTTTTCAGCTTCTAGTTCTTGGGCCACAGCAACAACAGCTTGAACTCTTTCCTCATATGCATAAATGTCTGTTTCAATAGCTTCATGTTTTTTAGCTGCTGCTTCTACAGATGCAAGATCAAATCCAAAATTGTCTTGTGATACAAGTCTCTGATTCTCGCTGAGCCAAGTTTCTCGCATTCCAGCTTTACGATCAAAACGTGCAGCTAACTGCTCCAGTTTCTCTTGCCTGGATAATTCAATGAAGTGTTTAAGCTTATGTTTAATTATTTTTTAACCACATATAAAACTTTTTTCATGCAATTTCTTTAATTACAAAAAACATATTCCTATAGTGTAAAACATAAAAAAAGACATACACAGTTCAGAACATGTCCCTTTCTTCACTTAAAAAAAACAATAAAACATTCCAAGTATGACAAATTTTAATATAGCAGCTTTAAAATATTAAACTGCCCTCTAACCAAAGTCAATCATATAGTGACTGCACTAACTATTTAAGCATTTAATCATTAGATAATTCATATTGATAACATTTACTGTGGATGCTATACCAAACATAAAAAACACCTATCTTCATTTATTGTTAAATCTACAAATATTCATTGCATGTTAGATTTTATATAATAAAAAAGTGTAAGAAACATTCTGTTCAAAACCTTTAGAAGTAGAACTGTACACTCCAATTTCTAAGCATCACCTACATGTATCATATTTTTAAAGTTCTTAAAAAATAGCTTAGAAATTCAAGATTCATCAAAACCTTTTCCTCAACACATACATAATAATATAGACTGTAGGACTAAAGAATATTAAGTTTAACAAATATGACTACTAACAATTTTCTTGCCACAATATGAAAATTAAAGCTACTGTAATTTTGTAGTCTACCTTATTAGTTCTTCTCGTAAAGCCAACTCTCGTTCGTGTTCTGCTTTCTCCAGTTTCTCCCAAGCTTTGTTTATGTCAGAGATCATCTTTCCTTCCTTTGGAAAATATGGCTTTTGGTTATTTGCTCTCATTTTGCTTTGCAGAGTAAACAGAAGTACCTCAAGGTCACCTTTTTCAATAAACCTGGAAAACAAATAATTATTTAAGTCTTAACATTCTCCTTGAGGCAGTAACATCTAATAACTTAAGACCATCTTTGAATCAACACAATCAAACCTTGTTCATATTTTGTGCATCTTTAAACCACAAGTATTAAAAAATATGAAATTCAGATTTTATTTTTATTCTTCATGTTGAGTAACATAAAGTTCTAAGTAAATTTTCCAGTAATTCAAAAAAGAAAAACAAATGAAAATTATTATGTGTGTGTTGAAAGGACTCAAAACCCCATAAATAAATGAAAATTATGTTTCACAGCTTTTGTGTAGGTATTTATTTGATGACAACAGTAACATATAAAAACATAAACACATACTTTGGTGGTTTCTCCACTGTCCTGTATGTGTTAAATGAAGTCATTTGTTGCTGTACTCCAACCAAAGAATTTGCGAAATGTCTGTCCGATAGGGCAGCAATAGTATGTTCAATCCACTGAAGCAAGTCTGAAGTTAAGGTTTCATATTCATGAGCCATTCTGTCATTTTCCATTGCTTCTCCAACAACCTACAGAACAATATTTGTATAATTCTGAAGACTTGTAATACCTTAACTTAAACCATAAATTTGCAGTCACAAAATCCTGTTATAAAATATGAAACCATCTTTATTTTATTTCAAGTAGGCTCATATTCAAAACACCTAGCATATGAACAGGAAATAAGTGGTAAATATGAATTATTATTATACTGCACAAAAATTAAAAAGCTGTAACATGTTAGTTTCCCATAATACATTCAGTTCAGATAGTATAAAATACAACAAAATTTCAGTTCTCAAATGTGTTAGTGTCAACTTTGCATTTTCTCAAACTCGTTTACAGACATTAATGAAATATTTGCAACACAATATTATATAATGTTTTTTCAATGAAGCTGAATGTTATACAAGAAAATACTTCAAACAAAATTGTATAATTTTTTAAACCAAAATTAACTGACTTTAAATGCAACAAAGGATTTGGTAAAGTATTATACACATTACAGCAAATGAAAGGAACAACAACACAATGTAATAATAATAATAATTTCAAGATAAGCATTTCTCTGCATCTCTTTGATGAAAGAAGTTAAACAATCATTCATCTTCTTTAGTAGCAACAGAAAATTCTGAACAAGAATTAAAAAGTACAAAAAACAACAAAAAAATGAGCAGGAAGTCCAATCTATTAGAACTGAAGAAATTTAATGCAAAGCATTATGAACATATGCTGAAGACATTGTAATACAACAAACTTTACTGATGCTTGCTATTAAAGTTTGAAGTTTTCTAAAGTTACTTGCTTTTCAAACATTTCTTTAAGTGATGTTAAGCTTGTAAGCTTATTCACAAATAAAATTAGGAAGTTAAAGCTTTTCATATTGAAAAACAACAAATACACACTATTTTCTCTAAACTTTATTAATAAAATTCAAAGAATCCTAGAGGACTTTTAAAGTAAACCCACCTTCCCAATTCTTCTTCCTTGAACAGTCTCTGCCTTCATTTTGGAAAAGTAATGGTAATAGGTGACAACATAAGTGATGATGGATTTCTCATCAGGACAGTCCACATATACATCTGTAGTATAACAAAAAATTACTTACAAATTAAATTTATATTTTAGCTACAACTATAAATACTTCAAGTACAAATAACAAAGCACTCCTAATGGGATACGCATTTTCAAAGTCAAATATTTTTAAGTGCTCCAACACTGAGAGTTCCTAATTCACAATAAATAATATGGAATGAAGAAAATTGAGTTTTGGTTCAAATGGTCCCACTTCACTTAATTATACAAAGGTTTATTTCTATGAAAATGGATCTTACAAAACTGCACAACAGGATAATTAACAAAAATGAAGACCATTATCTAGTTTAATGTAACAGATGTATTAATAACTTTACACAAGATGCATCTGATGTTATTAATAATAAACTATATTATTTACATTATAAAATAAAATGTTTGAATGAAAATCTTTAGAAGGCTACAGTGAATCCCGATGTACTTGAAATGTACAGTAACTCTGTGCATTCCTTACAGCAACTGGTAAGATTTTGTTAAAGTTTATAAGTATCTTGTACACAAAGAATGACATTTTAATTACGTCTTTCAAACTAATAATAGTTGAACTACAAGGTGATTTTCTTTATCTTATAGTTTTTCTCTACCATATCGCTAACTCTAGCTATCATCAACGTACAATGCAATGAAACGATTAAAATTAGGAAACAGAAAAAAAGTACACTACTTTTAATTTTTTTGTAGAATATCTTCAAAGATTTTCCTTCTGTTAAATTCATAATTTCACCTTTTTTCCTTTTCTCATATAGTTAATTTCTAATGTTTTATTTTCCTCTCTTGTCCTTTATCACTTATTATTCATTATAATACAAGTCAACAGTGCCCTGGAGGCCTATTACAGTTTCTTTGGGAGACATATCTAACGCTTTCCCAAAATTTTTGTTCAGCACATAATATCATAAGCCTTGAGAACAGACGTAAAGTATAATGTATATTTATAAAATGTTTAAACCTTTCAATTATACATCTCATAACATAACTAATACATAATTAAAATATAAAAGTAAAACCTAAATTTAATTTAAACTGTATCTCAAACTATAACATATTTAGGTAAGAAACAACCATAAGTGCTATAGTTAATCAAGTAGGCAACAATACTACAGTCAGTTACGTGTATTCTGTAATGGCAACTGCGCGTCCATTTCAAAATAACTGTTGTTAGATTATACTCTAAAATAAACTCTTCCTAATGTGTGTGTAACATCTACATACAAGTTATAAAGCTCAAACAAATCTGTTGAAGGTGGGCATGGCACCTGTCAGGGGTTGAAAAATTTATTACTTGTTTTAACCATATCTCAACATGTCATCGTGTTTGTTGACTTGTATTCAAAATTTTATTGAACTACTATTTTATGAATCTATGTCAATAAGTTTGGTATCAAATTGCAGATTGTAATTCAAACTTTAGTTAATTTCTTAATTTAAAAGTAAATATTGAAAAATTACAGATAAATATCTATTTTTGTGTGTCACGTGGTATGTTGAATGCAGCACTAGTTCAAATTAGATGTATGTGATGTCAAAATACAAAATATACAGT